TTCACATTTTTCTCCTGTGAATAATTTATTTTTGAATTCGATTTCATTTAACCCGATCAGGTACTCTATGAGTCCATGCAGGTGACTGTCTTCATTATTTACAGAGGAAACCCATTTGGTGAAAACCTCCTGATCCTGTCTGTTAACATTCCTATCAATTTGTTTAGTTAACCTTCAGCAAGTGTAGTTTACACTGTTCAGTCAGTGAGGATTTCGTCCTCTCTTCTTCCAGATCGATTTACTATTCCCGACATTACTATCTCGACATCCCCTGCAAGTCGAAACTGTTTTATCCACCCTCTGCTTAGTATCCACTATGTGATTCTAGCCACATCTTCTGGGCTGTTCATCATTGCTTCAAGGGACCTATCTTAAGCTTGTCGGAGAAAGTCACCTCTTCCATTTGCCCTCTACAGACACACCAATACCATGTGCTTGATGTGTTATGAGGGATAGGTACATTGCCAGCTTGGCTTTTATATTCCGGGTTTTTTAATCTGTATAGGTAGGAATTGAGCCCGATATGCTCGCCCCTTAGCTGAATGGCGACAATGCTTTGGGCTCTGGTTAGGTTACGGTGGATTTATATGGGTGTATCTTTGAAATTCATTTTGTTTCTGCCTATTTGTTCATGAGTAAATATATTTGCCGATTTCTAATGTTCTGAAGCGGCTGATGCTGGTCATCTAGGGTGCTGTTTGCTGTTCTGGCTTGTTCATGAATACTTTCACTCCTGGAAGACCACTATCTTTCCAGCTTCTTTCTGCCTCTCCTAGTCATTTTCTATTATGGTTAAGAGGTTATGTACGACGTCTTGGAGTCTAGAGCTTAATAGTCTGCGGAGCTGAGAGTAGAGCAAGGTGTGGAGATTAAATTAATTAGAATCTATATGTACATATATGTGTATATAAAAAGGATGAAGCGGCCCTATCTATCTCTACAAAAGAAGTGTTCCTAATACCCTACGCACGAGCCTCGGCTAATCCCTCACCGTGCCTTGCTAGCCACACTTGGTTTAGTTCACGTAATGTCTCATTGCTTACACACGCCCATCCGTATGGTATATCACAACATTTTCCCTTGCACAATTTTAGTCCATTCGGCGATATCTCTGCTATTGTTTAGGGCATGCGGAATTTCTCTCCAGTTTGCGGGCGGCTTTATCCTCCTACATGTAGATCGTATTGTCTGCTGAAGAGGGAGTTTAGCCTTTAGTCTGGCGTGCTGGACCGTCCTTTGTTTCAGGCATATCTCTTTAGGGAGGAAAGACGATTCGTGCTCTAGCATCCTGCTGCGAGGAGAATTTTAGGTGTTAAAATCTAGACATGCCAGACCGAACTGCACGCAGTGCGGAGTAGACGAAGACTACCCATCTTCGATCGCTTCCAGCTTTGGTGAGGTCTCGGTTGGTGATGATCTCGGTGGTGTGAATGTTATTCCATCACGTAATCAGAACACAATGTTTCAACCTAAGCGAGGTAGAACATAGACAGACAATTAGATGTAGATTAAACACTAACATTTTTAACTACCGAAATATAAGTTCACTAAAACCAAAAGCCTCACTGATCCTAACCCTTATCTCTGATCCATAAATCCCCAATATCTTACGACTCATACAGTATTGACTTGACGGTCAACGTTCACTTCTTTCATTCCAGACACACCCTAGAACTTTAATAGTAGGCACCAGCAACAAGCTTCAAGCATTTTCTTTGAATACTTCTGAGGGGTTTCACTATCCTTTCAGGTATCTTTCCTGCTGGCCCGACCTCGGCCCATATCGAGGACCCGTGAACAGTTTATTGTAATGCAGTCATGTTATTCCCCTAGTAACAACGCAGGCAATTTGCCGATCGTCGGACAGCTCTACAACAATGGTGGAACTCGAGGCAAAAGCTTTCACCTAGAGGACGACATTTGCTGGCAGAAAAGGGTGCGGAAAATTTTAATAGTTCTTACTCTAACTAAATGTTACGAGAGGCAGAGCCCAAATCGGGACGACTATGTCGCGCCCCAAGGAAATCTTCGTAGGATAAATCTTCTGGGGAAGCAGAAAATGCGCAGAGCGATTATTTTTTCGAAATTAACTGCCGGAGTACTCGGATTGAATTGACAAGCAAACTATGTGTTTGCGTTTGGACGACTATTCTCAACACCTATCAGTGGTGTCCCTTCCGAACCTACAGCTCTCAATTTAAAATCTGCAGAGCCAAGATTGTGTAACAAAGTCCTCACTTCGACGAGGATTCCCAATCGCTTTCGCGGTCTGTATCGTATCCATCTCTCAACACATTCCCCTATCACCAATATCATGAAGCTAACCACGATAAGATCAGATGGTAGGGTCGAAGCCCTTCTCATCACCAACCCTTGGTCAAAAAAGAAAAGCCATCCGTCGAGTTTCCGGAGCGTACCCAGTACCCCATACGGAGATGGCAGATTAGATTAATTCGGCCTCGAATGTTACGAAGAAGGGAGAAATAGATGAATGTGCGCATCTCATGTGTTCCCGGTGTCTATGCCTCGCCTGGCTGGGGCTGCAGGTTTTTTGAGACTTTTTCCGGCGCACGCAGTTTCCATTGCAACCATTTTTATTTTTTTGAGTAGAAGGTTCTGTGGAAAAGGTGGCCGAATTCCACGGGTAAGTACTGAGCTGAATAGCTATTCATCACGGGCAATATATCAATATATATTTCAAGTACCAAAAGAGGATAGGAGCACTGTACAAGGTGTGGCCTACGTTATAAAGGAGCCTAATGTGCCAAATAGTCATTTACTCAAGTAGTAAACTATAAAACATACAAACATATGTGCTTACGTTGTGGTGTGTCCCAATGGAACACAGACCCGTACAAAGCCTATTGGGTGTAGGGCGTAAGCCTGTCACCACATGTATTCAAATTAAATCCTTCCATATTCATATTCATATTCATATTCATATACGTTTTTTTTGCATCAGATTTTAATTGCGTATGCAGCTATCTAGCTATGACACAATATCAAAGAAAAGTTCAGAAAAGATGACTCAATTTACAAGAGGAGCACTCATGCCTCGGATTTCATTTGCAAGTACCACTGCGAAGTTATGGTGGCTTTTTCTTCACCCCAAGTCAACCCTCATCCGTGAATACCCACCCAGGGGAACGTCTCAAAAACCCTGTGTTAGACTCTACGAGTCAATTGAATTATGTATGAAGTAAAAGTAAAAAGTGTCAATTAATTCCTGGCCGCTATTTCTCTTTCTGATACTATCTAGATTATGTACGTCTAGAAAATGGCAAATGCTCTGTGTCCCTAACTTGTCCCCATGAACCGAGTTTCTCATGGTTTGGAACGAAATATCTCTAGTCAGAACAGATAGAGTTCTTATTGCTACAGCCCAAGCGAAACACCTTTCTCCGAAATAAGTAACTCCAAGCTTTGCAAACCTAACATCTTAAACTCTATATCTCACATTGGTCGCTTCCAAACTATCCACAGTTTGATACCCTGGGTTATCCATACATGCCTCCATATTCATATTCATATACGTTATAGAACAATAAACACGTACTGCCAAAACTCCATTGCGGTGAGGAGTAGAGAAGATAATTTTTGAAGTAAGCAGTTACTATAAAAATCCTTTCTCAAAAGGTGAAGTTATATTACCCTAACTCGGTATATGGAAATCTGATACAAAAATTGCACACTCATTTTAAGTATAGAGTGTTCCCCCATAAATCAACCCATTTAGCGTCGCTCGCTTATTAGGGCTAATATAGGACATGCAAGGATTAAGGTTTACACAATTATTATTTCCCTTGCACTTTTACAGTTACAGTTAAACTATCCCTAGTTTTTTTGTTACAAAGGGTAGAGTTATGCCTCATATCCCCTAGGTATTAACTCACCCATATCCAGTTTACCATTAGGAGCTCAATCATCAGGAGATGGGTCAAATAACAATCAATCATCGTTCTAGGGCACAAAGTAGTTTGGCGATGTAAATACGAAGTGAGCACATGGGGCCTTGACTCGTATTTAAAAGGAAGAAAAGTACCCGTTGTATTAATTCCAGGTTTTCCATATGGCTATCAATCATAGAACCCCAAGCACATGATTGTGTCCTGCCCTCTATGGTAAAATGGAGGAAAATTCTCGAGACAAGCCAGTGATTGGTCCTATGAAGCAATGATGAACTATCCCAGAGACATCAATTGGATTGCACAGTGGATCTTTAATCATGGTTGCATAGGGCAATACAAGATGACAAAGGCCATCGAATTGCTGCTGAAAGTAAAAGTAAAATAATGCTTGGAGCGGGTAGAGATGAGCTGGTTGGTTTACATGGATGGCACTGTAGTGACTTCGACTCCCGAAGAAAATAGGTGAGAACTGAAGACTAGTAGAAAGGTGTGGGGGATTTTCACCATGAAGGTTTCCTCCCGTGTAAAGATTATATATTGTAGACGCCTGTTTGGGCCCACAGGACGCCAAATCAGGATGATGTAATCAATATCAAAATCAATCGTCGTTTTTAACTAGTCTATCTATGTAGATCTGGATAGTTCAGCTAACACGAAATTTTCAAAGGTTGTGCCCTTAAGTTACTTATTGTCTAGCTGAAAATAGTTAGTAAGTACTTGTACATGAGAAGTAGGGCCTGACATTTTCAATTTTATTGTTCAAAGATTAGACCTTTTTGTAGTGACCGGACAGTGGAGCCTAAGTCGCCATAATCTTTTTCATCGGGACGGTGGGCTTTTATGTATAGGGTTATTTAGAGTATTTACCAATGAGATGGTAATATATTCTCCTAAATTTAGAATCCTAGGGATTATTAATTGCATCCTATCAGAACAATGTCTGGGCTCAGTCGAATTCATCTTTAGTTTTATAATTGTCTACGAGAGTGAGATATTGTCCTTCGTAAGTGATCGTGTATTCGAAGCTGACATTGTTTAAACGATTGTATGTTCATAGCTAGAGAGTCCTATGCTATTTGGTGATTATTAGCTTCAATTCGGAAGTTCTTCAAAGTTCATAAATGTTCCGGGAATTTCGTCTTCTTGTGTCAAAAATTTCCACTCTCTCTCGACCGATCTAAGTATATTGTCGTCAAATGCGGGATCAACAAAAGGTTCGGTCACTACACATTCAGGGTTTTTGGTATGGGAAGTTATCCTCGATTCCTGATCATAAGATAAGCTGAGGAGACTCTCCAGTCTATTACCCTGTACAGTTTTCAAAATATTAGAGACAGATGATTCGAGGAGAGCCTTGCTATTTTCTGATGCAATGGTAGTTCCGTATAGTACACCTGTAGTATAGTTAGCTATATTGAGCGTTTATAACACAATTAAATATAAATTGTCATCAGTCTGTCAGAGGTACGTTATCTTCATTAATTCAGACAATGTAGATAAGTATTCATAAGTTGGATCATCATATGACGGGTTTAAGATAGATTCAGTGTACTGACATTGATCTGTAGGACATTCTCCTGTTCCACTGGAGTGTATGGTTATGTATATCGGCAAGCTATTAGTTATACCTTGAGTTTCGATACTTTCAGGCGGAAAGACAACAAGACAAACAGCTGGTACAGGTGCAATGTCAATAGATGTATTGAATAGAGAATCTAAAGAAGATGGAACGACAGCAACAATTTTTGATACTGTCATTTTGGCTTCAGAAAATTGGTCTGTGTTTGTGACAACATTCTTGACGCTTATAGCAGATCCGTTGCTGAGCAAAATCTCCTTTAGACCATCTCTGTCTTCCTCGGGAGGATTGATTGATTGAATAGTCGTATCCAACATGTAGACTCCTCCACCAACCGCACAGGCTCGACAAGCTACTTGAGCAATTTCTGCGCAGCCACCCCATTTAGGAACAACTGCGTTGAAACCTGGACCGAATGCCCCAAAAGACTTCAAGTATCGTGAAATTCTTGGTATAGCCCATTCTACTGAGGTTTTATGAATCGGATTTAGTGTTAAAGTAATTGCCGCGATTACCTGACGTAAATATAGAGGTAATTCAAATCTGTTATCGAGATACTCATCCAATGTCTGCTGTCCGAATTCCTGACAATGTTGTGAAAGCTCTTCATCGTTGAGCATGGACTTGAGAAATCTCATTAAGTTTCGTTTCCCACGATTATCGATAGACTTGTCGCGGAATATATCTTCGCGTCCCGTAGGTATCTTCCTCATTTTTGAGCAGTTCTCTTGGTCACATATCCACCAATTCCCCACAGCTTGGAACTCTATATGACGGTAGGCCTTGGATGATATTAAATACTCGAGCAAAGACGACTTCGTATATATTATTTGCGGTGAAAGTGACAGAGAATAAGATCTGGAAGATTGGAGCTTTAAAGATTCCGAGATGACTTTTTTTGATATCTTCACATTTTTAAAAATACTTTTACTCGAACCTGTGACGTTAGCTTTGCGTGGAAACAGATCCTGTTACTTACATTTTTGCGCTTCTGTAACCCAATCATCGAGTTCCTGCAGTGAAAAGGCTGCTTCGTTGTTTCCATAGTATTTTTTAGAATCTACATGAAGTATCTTTTTCTTGGATCGAGATAACGCTCTCGAAATGGCGTTAGTCGATTGCTATTTGAGAGTCGAAATGGGATAAATCGCTCACAGAGCTAGTAGAGAATTCTGTAAGCCTGTTCCGCATATAAGAATGTCCCATGTTGTTTCAGATAGGCTCTCCATCGATAAATTCTACGACTAAACCAGAATCTCGTAATTGCTGTAGGTATATGCGTCATAAATTAGACGCTGTCTGGCGAGATTTCATGTAGAGTGAATGAAAAGAGAAGGGCGCTCAAGTGACGAATTAAATAGTCGGTGTGTAAATTCTAAACGCTAAGACTGGAGCTAACGTTGCCCTTAGTCTTAAATCAGAGCTGGAAGCGAGAAACTTTAATCAGGCTAGAATAAATTCGACGCGCAGACAGAATTTTAATAACCATCCATCCAAACAACAAAGCAGCGTACCACGTAATGGAACGTTGCTGAGATAGAGTATAACTTTCATTAGGATTCTCGTTCTTGGACGGTAGATCAATATCGTTCCGTATCTACTGCGCTGGAATCTAGATTTGAAGGCAGCGGTTCGTAAGGAACGTAACAATTCCCTACTACAAAACGCTTCTCAACTCGTATTGAAGCTAATACACTTCAAAAATGGGTTGTAATGAGTGTGAATTCCTAGATTGTCCTAAACGCGCGACAAGTGTAGTATTTAATTTTTATACTTACAACCCAACAATGACGAATTTTTACCCTCAAACATTTAAGGATATGGGTTACTCGAACCATAAGAGATACGATTAAGTATTGTATGAGGAATTGAGCTCTGAGAATTCAGTTTAAAAGACTTTGCCTTCAACCTAATGAAGTTGAGTTGGGACGCCAATGACTCAATAATTTGAAGGGTTGATACATCGTACAGCTTCTATTAACGATTCATTCTGATCTTAAAAATTCCGGGTTATTGCAAAAATGTTAGAATTTAGAATAATTGGGGCTATAAAGTAGGCCACGTTGTTGGTACACTCGTGACTACAAATTCTGTACTTAGTTTCACTTCGGTAGTTGAATCAATGCGCTCTACAACCTCAATGACTGAGGGGTCATTATTTCCTTAATAAAAAATAATAGTCGAACTGCCAAGCTACTGATAGTAAATATCAGGACTACCAAGGATATAGCGAAGGTTAAAGAGGTATCAAACCTCACCTTTCAGAAGTGACCCTAACGAACGCCCAAGGCTCACCATAAAATTCGTAACAACTAAATTAGTTCCAACAATATTCAAGAGAGCTTTTGCTATCCATGTGTCAACGGTTTTCTCCGGTGTTCTAGATGACTCAACAGAATAGGGCTAGACTACTCCATAGTACATACCCTCAATCTAGACCCTTCTGCAGATTCAACTCTCAGTCATAATTATCCTGAGGCGTAAATGACTGGAGAAGCTGAATAGATATTACGAAGAGATGGGAATGATTACACTTAGGTACACACAAAACTACAGCGCCCGGTTGATCAGCCCCGTGGATGCTGCAGTGTGTTAGCCATGGTTTCGTACATAGTCTTGATGTCAGAACTAGAGAAGCCAAGCACTCAGATGCATTTTCAAAATTTCCAAGATATCGTAGATCGACAAAGGGCTTTAGTTTTACTGTTGAGAGAGGGGGGCAACAGTGAGAGATAAAAGGCCTCCCTATATGAATAATCTCAACAAGACTGTTGAATGAGAAAAGTAAAGCAGGCGCATGACAAGCTCCACTATCCAAAGCGTAGGTATTTATGTGTGTCCATTGTACTACCTGAGTCAGACTATCTAGCACATTGGGCACCTCTCTGACCCAGGCTATACCTTGTACATTACTCCTTGACTCTTTTGTTACATGTAAGATCGTTGATATATTGCCCGTGATGAATAGCCATTTAGCTCTGTATTTACCCATGGAATTCATTCACCTTTTCTACGGAGCCTTCTACCCGAAAATAATAATAATCATGGTAGCAATGGAAACTGCGTGCGCCGGAAAAAGTCTCAAAAAACCTGCAGCCCCAGCCAGGCGAGGCATAGTTATCGACTTTAAACTTTTTGTCGACTTTTTTGATGTATGTCTGTTATCACAGATATTGGAAATAATTCATGAGATTGCTTAATGAGAGGCTAGTATTGATTCCGATATAATTTGGTAGCAGACTTGTCCCAGCTATCAGAGGGATACAACGTCTTTATCTATCTACAGGTAAACTCTCCATATTCCAAACACGCTAGCCATACAGGACGTAGCATACAAAACTTGATTCGTATCATCATTTTGGGGATGAGATTTACCGTGCATATGCTACTCGAGTCGCATGTCTGACTACTATGCGACACGCTTAGGTATCAATCTAACAACCCACACCAAAACCGAAACTACTCACAACCCTGATGATGACCCCATGAATAATTGTAACAGTAGCCTGCAACATAGCACAATTAGGCTAGACATCGTTGACCAGGACCTAATCCGAACACATAGACACCGGGAACACATGAGGTGCTCACATTCATCTATATCTCCCTTCTTCGTAACATCCGAGGCCGATTTGATCCAATTCACCATTGCTGTATCGGATGCTAGTTACGCTCCGGAAACTCAGCGGATGGCTTTTCCTTTATGACCAAGGGTTGGTGATGAGAAGGGCTTCGACCCTACCATCTGATCCGATCGTGGTTAGCTTCATGATATTGGTGATAGGGGAATGGGTTGAGAGATTATTATTATTATTATTAATTCATTTTATTGTCCTGTCTGAGTCTATGACTATGTAGGACATACAGGTCCTCTCTGCCTACAGGCCAAGGATACCTATACCAGTAGTATATCCCCTCCTATGCCTCCTATACAGCTTGCCTCAAACAGTACCCCCCTTCACAAGTCCTCATTCAATCATACACTTAGAGGAGCCCTTAGCCCTTCATTATCTCTCCTCTCCAGCCAACGAAACGATGGCTATTTGCGGGTATATGGCAGCCGAGAAAAATCGCAAAAAACCACTGGGTGCTGGGCTCTCTTAATACTGACATTAGGACTAAATCCGAGAACATAGTGATCCTAATGATGCGTTCGAAGAGGCCGGCCAGCTGGGCGCTGCAGACTTGTGGGTACCTCGGAAAATTCATCCTCTGCCTTTCTAGCCTCCTTTCAACTACTCCCCGAAGATGGTGTTGAAATGTCAGAAAAGTCTTGACAGAGCGTAATTGCTGTATGGTAGCTTAGCCCAACTTCTTTTGTGCCGTCTAAGGTGTTAGGGAGTGCCGTTGACTCATCGACAAAAGAAGTCCTCCTGGCTAATCAGCTGAAATCTCGGTCTTGGCGCCCACAAAAAATCCAAAGTTGAAAACTCCTGGAAAATGTCAGTCCCAACACGGTCTTCAGAGACCTCTTTCCCCTCTCGCTCCACATCTCAGCCGCCTGTCCTTCCTCAAGATGTATAACCCCATGAGAGCAGCAGTCCCGCGTAAGCCAAGATCGAGGCTTTGTATATTATGACTTAATTTCCTCCTTACGGGTATACGCAGCGTCGTAAATTTGTAGTGAGTGATGGTCGGTAATGATTGAGGCAAGCTCCTGTTTGCAATTGGGGTTACGCCTTTATCAGTCGTCGAGTCGAGATGATATGTGGTTAGAAAGAGGTTGAGTACTCAGAAGATTATGGTGAGTGCTGCATGATTGACAAGTCGTCAAATGGAGATATGCATGTGTTTGCTTTTGTCAAACATCTAATGGTTTGTAACCTACTGAATATGGTAATGAGAATCATTGGATAGTGAGATGACACATCTTGTCGGATTAACTAAATCGAGCTTTGATATCTCATCAGGGATATGGTGATCAGCATGTTCAGGATGTTCAGGATAGTCAAAGCTCTGACATGAGATCTTTTGATCTTCAACACATGTAATATATTTCATATGTAATTTTGGGAAACGAGGAGAAGAAAATATCTCCTCGAAATAGTTTCAGATGGGTATATAGCATCATTACTGGAGAGGAGTTAAGGAGTAGAGATTTCATCAATACAACTTTACTTTCCATTTTTCATTTGACCCTCATTGTCTAAGAGCTTTCGACCTCGTTTCGGTTGCGATTCTTCTTGGCTATCCCAGATATGCAGAGCATACTGAGCGATTACACCGGCACCACTGGAAGGTGAAGAATTCATCTTTGCCGGCAATGTATTGAGAGATGAATACAATACAGACCGCGAAAGCGATTGGGAATCCTCGTCGAAGTGAGGACTTTGTTACACAATCTTGGCTCTGCAGATTCTACAGTGAGAGCTGGAGGTTCGTAGGGGATACAATTGAAATTAGTTCCGGAGATTGGAAGAATTACACACTAGCCTCGAGTCTGATTGAGAGATACGATAAATGTGTTTACTACACGAAGAAGTTTACTGATATTTAATGGATAGTTAATTGTGATTAAATTGCTGTAATTCTATATGTGTGGCAAGAAGTCCCTCTATATACATGAAAACGGGGTTTTCCGCACACTAGTGTGAACTCCAACATACTTCCTAATCTAACCTAAACAGGAAGGTTGTTGGAGATCCTGAAGCCCATGTATGCTGTCAGGCATCTAATGGCTAATTACTATTCATGCCAATGAGTGATGATATGGGTTAATCATATCTGATGGCGCCAGTGCATATTATTCTAATATGTACTATTTGTCTACTGCAGTCATGTTGCTGCCTTAATTACAACAGACACCACTGACAGGTGTTGAGAATAGTCCCCCTAGGATTAGTATTAGATAGACGTAGAATAATAAACCAAACCAAACCTACCTTAGATTTCGCCCAGGCGTCGATATTTTGCAGAAAATCCTGACCTAGGCTCATTCTCTCCATTCGTTCGCGCTCTGATTGCTCTATTGCAGCAGCAATCCCAAGAAGGCTCGGGTGTAGTTGGTCGCCTGGGTCGATTGACGCCGAGGCCGATCGCCATCCTATCATGCTTGGGTAAAGGCCTTGAGCGACTAACTGCATGGCGAATTTCATTTATTGCTCTTAAACGCCGAGCACTTGCTAAAGACCAATGTAGTGCCACCCCTTTCGCTCCGCTGCTAACATTACCATAACTCTCACTTTTGATATCCAGACTAAACGATGAAGAAGAGAGTAGCCGGTATAGT